GGGATGGTGGGATTTCCTTTCTTTATCTGTATTAGCTAGAAGAATCAAGTGCCATTTTCGTAAATTTTCTAAAGCTTCTAAAAGCCTTTTCTAAAATAATCTAAGAGCATCCCCATAGTGCTCTGCCTTGGCCTGGCCTCCCCGGGCTGCCCACTGCAAAGACATCTGCGCCTTCGTTTTGACAAGCCCCTACACTGCCTGATGGTTGCCTTACTTGGCCAGCCCTCAGCTCCCTGCTCCCCACACCCCTGCCTGGGGTTCACCTGCAGGCACTCAGTTCCACTAGCTGTTGACATCTGAGGGGGGGGGGCAATGCCAGAGCTGTGCTATGGTGAGAGGGTGGGCCTCTGGCTGCCTGCCGCTTGTTCCTTCCTCTCAGGGCCTCTCCAGGCAAGAGGCACTCAGGTGGGGGTGGCTGCAAAGGGACCTGCCAGGTTCTGAGAATCGCAGTGCTATTTTTCTCTCTCCACCCACATCCCAACAGCTCAAAAAAAAAAAAGTCAGGTGAACGTGGGAGAGAGGCTTCCAGAAACAGCTACAGAAGAGCATTAATCTCGTGGGCATCGGAGGCAGCTGAGAGATGGGGCGGGCTTTGAAGGAAGCCATGGAGGGGACAAGGCCCCAGGATGGCCCTGCATCCCTCTGCTCCCCTGTCCAAGCTGCCCCTTTGGTTTTGTGAGCATGGCAAAGTCAGAAACATCAGGGGCCTGGTGCCCAGCCTCTCTGTGCTGCTGAGGGGCTCTGTACCTGGAAGCCAGTTCGTTACCTCAGGCCTCAGTTTCTCCATCTGTTAGATGTGCACACTGACTTCTACTCCGCAAAAGTGCCACAGGGGCCCACGAGATGATTGTGTTTAAACTATGCAATGGCTGCTGGATATGCCCATCCTTCCCCTCCACCTGCTTGCTGATTTCTGCCTGTTCATGTTCTTCCCTCTCCATCTTGTCCTCCAATGGACCACAGCTCCCCTGTCTCCTCCAGGAAGGCCCCTGGTGTGGCTCACATCTCTGCTCTTCCAGTTGGCTCAGTCTGGCATTGCTCACCCAGGGAATATTTGACTGCTCTGAACTCACCTTTCCTATCCTGTAAAATGGACACAGTAAGGAAAGGTGAGAAATAGGTACCCACCTCAAGTGGTCACTGTGGCCTTTAAATAAATGCATGTAAAGTTACCAGAAAAGTGGCTAGCATGATCACTCACTGTGTGTGTGTGTTTATAATTTGCATTATATCTATATATACACGTATATATACATTTTTTTGCTATTTTTATCTGTGTCTGAATCCTTGAGCTACTGCTAGCTCTTCTGTTTCTTTAGAACCATATTGTTCTTTTCCCTCTCATACCTAGAATAGGCCTCTCTGCAATATTTTTATCAAATTAGCTTTAAAAAAGGAATCTTGGGGAGACATCCAGTTCTGCTTTCTTGGAGCCAGAGGCCCTCCTGGCTGACTCCCACAGCCCTGGCCCTGCCCCCGCGCTGTGGGCTCTGGGGTGGGGACACGCTGTGAAAACAGACGACCTCTGCCTGTGCCCAGCGCACTGGCGTTTTGGCCGAACTGTGACTTCACCGCCACAGCACAGGGGAGGCCGGAGGAAGAGCTCAGGGCTGTAAGCAGTCTCTGAAGTGTAACGGTAGGCAGCTGTTGCCTCTAGGTGCAGGGCCGATGGGCAGAGATCAGGATCTTGGGTTTCCTCGGCAGGAGCTCCTGAAGAGTTTAGAGAACTGATCTTTGGTTAATTCTTGTGTGTACATCCGGCCTCCTTAATTACCTGGTGACTGCCTCGAGGGCCCGGCACAGTGATGGCTGGGTAAAATCTTGCCGGACTCGGCAATTTAGAGATCCATGTGTTCATTCCCTCAGCCCACAGACTGCCTGCTGAGTCCCCGCCACGTGCCCCTCTCTTCGGGAGCTCGCATTCTGATGCGAAAGGCACATGGCACGTGGCACGTGGCAGATGAATGAGATCAGCCCTTCTCTGCGCTCCCCTCCTCACCACTGAGCCAGGGCCACGAGCCAGATCACGTGGGGCTGGTGGGCTGTGCGAGAGTTTGGGTTTCACCTGAGGGTTGTGGGAGCCACGGGAGGGCTTTAAGCAGGGGAGAGACCTGTGTGGACAGGGTCACACTGGCTGCTGTGCCGAGAGGGCCACGGGGAACCAGGGGGACCTCAAGGAGATGGACAGAGAGAACAGTGGTTGTGGAACATGGTGTACGTTCAGAACGGGGTTTTCAGTGGCGGTGGCAGCAGCATTGTGGCTGCCACTGCCGCGCGGTGGCTGGCATTTGGTCTGGACAGTTCTCTGTGGGGGGCGCTATCCCCATGTTGCAGGTGTTTAGCAGCACCCGGCGGTCGGTCTCTGCCTTCTAGAGGCTGTGTAATGCCTCCCTCCAGTGTGGCCACAGAAATGTCTCTAGACATTGCCAGGTGTCCCCTCAGGGGAAAAATCGCCCCCAGCCGAGAAGCACGGCTTTAGTGCTGACCCAACAGGACTTGTGTATGGACTGGGTACCGGTGGGCAGGGAGGGACACAGGCTGATGAGGCCAGTATTGGAAGTATTGGACGGAGGACTGTCTTTTTAAAATTCTTACCTGAGGATAGGTTTTTAATGATTTTAGAAAGAAGAGAAGGGAGAGAGATAAAGATAGAAATAGAGAGAGAGATTGATTGCCTTCCATATGCACCCCAACCAAGAATTGAACCTGAAACCTTTTGGTGTGCGAGACAATGCTTCAACCAACCATGCCACCTGGCCAGGGCGGCACCGCCCATTGATTCAGAGCAAGGACAGCTGCACAGGGAGCCTGCCCCAGCCACAGGGACATGGGCCGGAATTCCTCCACCTGTCAGACTCGGGCTCTCTTTCTCCCAGCAGCCTCCCGCGCAGCCGCAGGGGGCAGGTCTGGAGATCCTGGGGCGCAGCGGTGCTCGGGCGGTGCGGGCTGTCTCCCGGAGCTCGTGCAGAGCTGGCCTGGGGGCAGGTGGCTGGACAGCAGCCTGGCCGCAGGGCACAGATGTGCTGTGGGTGCCGAAGCTGAGCCTTGGCATGCGGCCCACCTCTCCCTCCCACGCTGCCCAGCTGCTCCTCTCTGTGAAAACTGAATTCCTATTTCTAGAACATCCATCTTTAGCCTGCCGGGGGTCCCCACACGCCTCTGTTCAGCCCTGTTCCTAGACTCTGAGGTTGGCTCAATAATTATCTTCACACCAGGAATCCCCTGATTAGCTGATTCACATCCCCCACCCCCTTTTCTCAAATGGAACTGGAAGAGAAAACCCCAGGGCCATTCTCCAGCTGTAGCCCCACCCTCGGCTAGGTCCCAGCCACTTCCTGCCCTTGTACGGAGCCCTGACCCTCCCTTTGGGCAGGGTCTGTTGTAACACGGCAGGTTCACTCCACAGTCCCCACCATGACCCTGTAGGCACCCGCATCTTCATGGTCTTTCACACACGAGGACATGGAGGCAGAGACAGGCACAAAGAATGTGCCCCTGATTGAAGAGTCACAAGTGGGATGTCAGGCCGTGTGACTTCAGCTTTGCTCTCTGCTACCAAGGCTGCCTCTCTGGACGGGGGAGGGAGGAAGGGGTGTGGGCAGGGTGGGGGACAGCTTGAGGTGCTGTGCTGGGGAGACGGTGTGAGTGCCAGGCCCACAGCAAGGACCTGGGTGTGGCTGTGTGAGCCTCCAGGGACCATGTCAAGCTGAATGGCTGCAGTCAACTTGGCGACGGGCTGCCAGGCTGGCCAGAGGTTTCTCTATGTCGCAGGTATTAGCTGTGTGGGATAGAGGAAGGGACAGGCTTCCAGGGACAGCTGGGGATCCTCAATCCTGAGACTGGTAGCTTATCAAGTCGTGATGGGACTGCCTGTCCACCTCCTGGAGCTCAGGTCATGCCCTGGCCCCACGACCAGCTAAATGTGATCACACTGCAGTTGCCAGCACGTGGAAATGGACTGAGTGGATGAGAAGCAGCACCCAGAGGAGAGAAATCACAGCGAGGGCAGATGTGGATGCACAGTGAGGGGTGGGCAGGGTGGGGGCTCGGGGTGGGGAGCAGGAGGGGATGCAGTCCCCCCAAAGGAGTGGAGGAAGCAGGCAGAGGTGAACTCTGTCAAGGCTGACCCCTTCCTTTAGGAGTGCTATTTTTGTTACTGGTTTTTAATTCTTTTTGAGGCTAATTCCCTCAAGAGCATTGAGTTTTAAGACACTGGGTGTGTGGGAATGCTCCCTGTTTCACCCCCCACTTCCTGTGCCCAGCGGCAAGGACAGGATGAGGGCTGCTGAAGCAGAAGACGGTGATGGTCTTGAAGCCGAGTCCCTGGTGCAGCTGACAGGACGTGTGAGCAGTATGTTTCTGGAGGCAAATCCCAAGATTTGAGCTGAATTCCTTCTGAAATCCTCCCAGTGAAGGGGACAGCCCATCCTTGGACAAAGTCCTCACCAGCTGCCGTGTGACCCCTGCAGTGTGGGGGTGCAAGAGCGTAGGCTCCACACAGGCAGGGGCCGTGACGGCCCCCCTCCCCCCACGTCCCCAGTGCCTGGTGCGGCTCCTGCCCCAGGCACGGCCGATGAATGAATGAATGAATGAATGAACGAATGACTTGCCATGACTTCATCCCAGTAGAGGATTTCTAATTGCTTGGGTTTCAACTTAAAGCATATTTTAAGAAAAAAATTGAGCAGGGGTGGGGGGAGGTGGAAGAGTGTAAAGTGGGGATCAGTGGTGGTGGAAGGAGACCTGACTTGGGGTGGTGAACACGCAACACAATATACAGAGGATGTGCTGTAGAACTGTACACCTGGAACCTATGCAGTGGTATTAACCAACGTCACCCCAATGAATTCAATTAGAAACTTAAAAGTCCTTCCAATCGGATACATTGAAGAGAAGAGTGAACATAAGTGGAGCGGGTGCTGGGGAAGTGTCCCGAGTCAGGTTCTCGGACATGAATGCATGAGGAACAACTCCGACGCCGCAAATGATGCAGACGAGGCTGAGGGCACTGAGGAATGACCATCATATTTATTCATACACAATTAATGTCTCTAACAAAGCATATCATGCAAACAGAGATCAGAGGTCATACGGGTTGAGGAAAGAGATGCGGTAAGTTGTACATTCACCTTGCCCGCTGTAAGCCCGATGTCCTTTGCAGCTGAGCAGCCTCCGCAATTGTCACTGGGGACGTATTCGGAAGGAAAAACCTCCGCCTCCACCTCTTCCTCCTTTGTACATGTGGGGTCTTACACGATGTTTTTTGATGAACGGCTTAAACATGGCATGTTCCCCCCACCCCCACACACAATATTAGGTAGCAAAAGCAATGATTTCAAATGTTTCTGACCATCTATAAAAGTTATTCTGAAAAACTCTAACAAGGGACATGAGGTGAATTTCTAGACCATTTAGACTTAAGAGAAAAACTGCCTTCATGGAGGACTTTGAATAGTCCACGAATCCCCTCAAGAAAAGAATCACATTCTCTCAGGAAGAACATCAACAAAAATCTACAATCACAGGAATAAATACTCCTAAAGTTCAGCAGAGGCGACGAAGACACAGTTGTTTAATCAGAAAATGCGAAGCCACCCTTTGTCTTGTTGTAGAAAAAAAGATTCTTACAAAGTGGACTTGGTACTTATTTTTCTGAAAAAGTGGGGTTCTGTCTACTCACGTGGGAAAGAACTCTGAAATGGATGCCCGCCTGCTTCTCGGGCTGTGGAAGTGTTTCTGGATTGCCCAGTGAGCAGAACCCTTGCAGGACAGCCCAGCATTTTCACTGAGGCACCTGGGGACCTCTGGGGGTTGGAGCCAGACCTGAGTGGGCGCCCCCTTCCCGTGCCAAGATGTGGTGCCCCAGGGACCCCTGGGAATGCTACCCCAGGGCTGCATCTGGAAGAGGGACAATGAAGCCATCGTTCTACGGTCTGAAAGTCTCTAGGCCCTAGACAGTTGTCCCCAGGGTCTACTGGAAACACGGAGGGCATCGGTCTGCCAAGGCGTTTCACCTGAACCTCCAGTCATCCCGGCGAGGACTCCGTACCCCACCGGCATGCGAGACCCTGCAGAGCACGTGCAGGTTGGGGGGCTGTAGCCGGCTGCCGCCGAGGCCTCCTGCAAGGTCCGTGTGGTTGGAATCTTATCAAATTGTCAGTAATTTTAAAAGCCCATTTTTAAAGAATTGAGTTATTAAAATTCTCTATAAAAAAGTACAAAGAGCCCAGCATACCCCGTTGTTTTACTGGAGTTAAATTCATTTCTTCCTTAAGGTTTTAAAAAAAAGTCTTTGGAACCTGTGGGCCTTCGTGTGGGGGCGTCGTAAGGCTGTTTGAGGGCTGATGGGGTCGCACGGTCGTTAACTGCACTTGGCCACACAGCTCAGAGGCTCGGGGGCCTCCCGAAGGGCAGAATGGGCAGGACCGTGGTCGACACTGTTTCTGGACGCCAGCCTGCACCCACACATAACGCAGGCCACCTTCCCCAGTCCCCCTTATTTCTACCGGACGAGAAATGCAGCTCTCCCTGCATCAGCCTGAGTGGGGAAGTGACGGAAATGTTCACTGTCTGCTACATTTCATAAAATGTAACCCAAGCAAGTCAAGGGAAATGTTTTATTAAAATACTTCCCAACGCTCCTTGTCAAACTAGCATGCGGTCACTGATAACCAGAGTGTCCCTGTCCTTCCCCCGATCTGTCACGCCTTCGCTGCTCCTGTAGCCCCACGGGCCCCTGGCTCAGTGTCCAGCACATGGTCATGATTATTGGGTGCGCTCAGTGGGGGGGTCTCCTGCCCTGGCTGGGTTTAAAGAAATAGGAACTGGTGTGAACTGCACACATAAGAAATAGGCGACTTCATACGACCCAAGTGAGAAAATGCGTCAGATGGTGTTGCCTTCCTGAGGCTTTTAAAAACCTGAGACTCTCACTTTCCTCCCTCCTTAGTACAGAGAAAACAAATCCCGGCAAAACACCTCTAATTTCTCTTGCTAAGTGGACCCAGGTGGGAACGGCAGTGTTAGCTGTGTCTGCGACTTCCCCATCTGTCCTTGGCTGCCACAGAGCTTACAACAAGCCCCAGAGGGGAAACGGGTGCGGACCTACTGACTCCCAGTGCAGGTGGGTGGTTCCGCTCAGCCTCTCCCATGTAGGCGGGGGAAGGGGCTTCCAGCAGCTGGTGAGGGTGCTGCTGGCATTTGGGAGATGTTTCCTGAGGAGGACCAGGCCGTGTCCCTGGCAACAAGTGTCCTCTCCAGGGCCGGCAGGCGGTGACTTTCTTCTGCACCAACGGCCTCCCATGGAAAGCCCCTGGAAATGGCAACAGCATCCTTCCCAGGATGCCCCCTCCTTCCCCTCTGTCCTGGCTTCCTCCTGCCACGAGCCTCCTTCCAGACGCACACAAACCCTGCTCCTCTCTCGACTCCGCACCCACCTCCGCCTCCACAGACCTCTCACGGACAGGAGGGGTCTGCACCCGCGTTCACCAGCAAGTCAGCACGCTCTTCCGAGAACCGTAGCTCAGGGAGGCGCTCAGCAGCCATCTGTCGGCTTGCATTCATCCTTGGTCTTTCACAGTCTTTCAGCCAACCATCTCAAGTCATTCCCAGGGAGCTCCTAACCCTCTGATCTTCTACGCAAATTCCTAATAAGAAAGCCTCGTAAGACAAGACGGACAGTGATTCTGCACTGACTTGCACCAGGCCACGGGACGCAAGAGAACTAGATGTGTTGACAAGCAATCGCGTCAGTGCCTAGGGGCTCCCATCAACCTTCTCAGTCTGTTCTCGCCTTGAGCGAACCTGCGTTAGCCTCTGAGGGAGGCAGTCCAGGCCCTTCTGTTCAAACCGACACCTAGTGGTGTTAGAGGAGACACCCGTGGGTCTGTAGCTCACAAGGCAGCTCCACCACCGGGCAGCGGCCACCTTCCAAGGGAAAACAACGCAGGGACATTGGACGGCCTTTTGGAGTCACAGAGCCACGAGTCCGGTGGAGACGCAGATTGTACGCGACCCTGCTGGGGGCCTGGACGGCCGCAGGCCCTGGTGGCATGGGCACTGCCCGGAGGCTAGAAGCTCCTGCAGTCCCCCAGCCACCTGACCCTGCGAGGCCTCCTCCTTATTCTGGCCTCCACCAGGGTCCTGCCCTGTGCTTCTGTTCCCACGATGCCCTCAGAGTGGGCCAACACCATAGAATTCCACACATGCTGCGGCAGACAGGTGTGTGAATGGTAACCACCAGACTCACTCTTTCAGCAATAAACCCAGGACACAGCCCGGAACCAAATAACCTATGTCATGGGGACACTTCACTGGGCTCACGTTTTTCCTGCTTGTCCTCGAGCCTGCTGTCCCTGAGGCAGAGTGCTGGGCGCACAAACGGGGAATTTTCTTTGAAAACTATGCCACACATTTGGAAAGAATACAAGGCAGCTAAGATGTGGGATATGTTTCCCAGGGAAACACGAATGCTCTGGAAATGTGTTGGCTCTTTCCCAGGAAGCCCGAGCTGCTGCGGCTTAAGCAGGCGGGCAGCGTGGGGCTCGGGACAAACGGCCCTCCGCCATGTGCTTTGCTGGGGCCTTCCTCCCCCTCTGGGGGCTCGGCTGGGGACCCGTCCTGCCGTGGCCCTGTTCTGGGGCCCGGTGACTGGCACTTCTGTTTCTTAGCCTCTTTCTGCAAACTGGTGCCTTTCCCGTCAGATCCAGCTGAGGTGTGTCTGGTGAGGGCGTGTCCCCGGAACGTGCACCGGCCTGGCGCGGGGGCGGGCTGCAGCCCTGAGTGCCCCAGAGCCCCTCGCGGATGCTGAAGCCCTCGGCCCAGCAGAGACAGTGGAGGAGCTGCTCTTTTCGGGTCTGACTGACTCCCTGCCCACCTCTTCCTTCCCTCAGGGGTTCCCAGGACAGACACGCCTGTCGGGTCAAAGCCCCCTCAGTGGGAGGGTGTTCCATGAGTTCCAGGCAAACAGCCAAAGTCAATCGCAGAGCACTTCACTGGGAGATGCTTCTGGGGAGCGGAGAGAAACAGAGCAGGCCTCTGCAAGGAGTGGAGGCAGCTTCCGTCTGGAATGTTCTTTCTGCCGTAGAAGACTGGCTTCTCCGAGGGCCTGGCGTGGGCGGTGTCTGACACGGAGGGCTCCTCGGGCGGGTTCCAGGGGCAGGTGGGAGAAACTCGGTTGCCTCTGCAGAGAGTCTGCAGAGGGCCTCAGGGGATGGCTGTGCCCGGGGCTGCCGACGGTCTGCCCCACGGTCTGCCCTATGGTCTGCCCCACAGTCTGCACGTGGGGAACAGACAAGCCAGCCTCCCAGGGACAGCGTGCGCTGTCCACGGGGCGCTGCCCTCGATCACTCACAGTGACGAGGCTGGAAGGGAGAGAACCACCGCGTCCAGCCGGGGGCTGTGCTCACACCACATATGCCCGGACCGGTCACACTGGAGTCAGACCCTCTGTCCCCACGGGGAGGAGCGGCAGAGCAGCCAGAACAGAAGACGGCATTAAGAAGCTAAGACAGAGTCTCATCTCAAAAATAATCCCCTAAAATTTTTGTTTGCAGGTAAAACCAAATATTTATATATATATGTAAAGCCTAATTAATCATGTAAAGTAGCCACTCATTTCTGAAATTAGATCTATGTTAAGAAATTAATATGTCGGACATGGCGCCGATGCACAGGGGACACACGGGGTAGGGAGCAGGGCAGCAAAGGGTTCGACCAAGACTTAACCATAGAAGCAGATTAGAAACGAGAGCCTTCACAAATATAGCACAGTTGTATCTTATAAAATTATTATAACACTTTCTTTATGCTTGATACGATTATATCAATAATATAGATTCACTTGTTATTAAGGTTTATTATAAACATGCAAAATTCATTGCATGATGCATTTGCAAAACATATTAAAATTCTTCTTGCAATAAAACATCTTTGCGCTGATATGTATCCAAGTTTCCTGATTCTACGGCTCCAGGTGTGTCACTCAATGTGAACTAGAAGTGGGGACCAAAACCGTGTTGATTTTCATCCCTATGGAGACATCGGGGGCCAGAGACGGGAGAAGAAGCCGTCGGTAGGGACTGATCCTAGAGGCAATGCCTGAAGTGACTGTACATCGTACCCTCTCGAACGACACTGCAGCCTGTTAAATAAATAAGTACAAAAGGGCTGGGCGCACGCTTCAGCTTCTCAGGAAGTAGGGAGCAAAGTGTTGGGGGCTGGGGGTTGGCTAACAACACTGTGAGCACTGGCATTGCCGATGGCACCCTGGATCGCAGGATAATCTCCCAGAGATTAGAACGGACGCACGCACACACACTGCTGTATCCTTGATCTGAAACGACTTCGCACGCTCATGTAGCAAAGTCCTTAGAAGATTTGGCCTCTTACAAAGAAATGCAAGTATCAAGACAGGCATCAACCGAGCAGGACACGAGAGGACAGACTCACTGGACACCCATCTGAGGTTTTCTTCTCCTGTTTTTTAAAACCGGTGACCACCGGGCCGTGGTTGGGTGACGACTGGCAATGTCTGGGGACAGTGAGCTTGGAAATGACATCCTGGCCTCTCGATTCCAGGGATGGTTTCCAAGGAGGCGGAGAACGGAAGCGGCAGGGGTGCGGAAGCCTCCCACCCCCAACCCCGCCTGGCTCCCCCTCTGCCCTTGGGACTCCCGTTCCTTCACTCCCAAGGTGCCTGGGCGGGCAGGTGTCCAGCCCACGCCTTTGGGGGTGGGGGAGGGGTGTCCTGATGGTGAAAACCGACAGACAGAGGATGTGGGAAATATATCAAATCGTACCAAAAAGGGGGCAAGAGCCTGACTGCTGCCGAGGCAGGGTTAACCTACAGCCAGAGTGACTTCTACATAATGAAACCGGACACTGCACATTGTATCATCTTCCACTCAGAGAACGCTGTTGGTTGTGAGAGAGAGACTTTGAACAGCGGGTCACATTTGGACTGACAACCCTATGATTTGCAGGCCTCCATCTGGAACAAGAAACAAGGCCGTGGCCCTAAAATTTGAGGGTGAAGGATCATTTCCCGATGCTGGGGGGATGGGCGGGGCGGGGAGGCCTCTGCTCTAGGCGGCGAGTTTCACGCTGCGCTCTGCAAGATGGGGTGCACAAACTGGGGGTTGACGTACGAGAAGCCCTCAAAATCAGACTGGTCTATGTTAGAGATGACCAGCTGATCCGGAGGCGTTAGGACCGGTTGCCCGCGTGTGAAGAACTTGTCAAAGTTTTCCGCCCCTTTGCCGCACTGTGGAGAAAACAGAGAGAGGAGAGGTCAGTAAGTGGCACGGAGCACTGGGCAGCTGCTCTCAGGCGCACCCGCGGGGAGGGGCGCGCTGGGGCGGTTAGACGGGAAGAATCCGGGGGGCGTGCGGCCGACTGGATGGGAAGCCAGGCACAGCCCACACGGTGGAGGCCCACGCGGTTACTGACCCCCACACGCCCGCCCCCCACGAGGTGGCCACTCAGGGGAAACGCACTGTTGACAGAGTAAGGGGACAAGGGAACAGCTTCTTGTGTTCCCACCTCAGAGCAAGCGAGGCCTGAGCACAGCTGCCACACACGTGCGGCCGGCAGCCTCGGCCCCTGTCGAAGGGCTGGGATGCTGGGTGGGGGTACAGGCAGCCCCCCCGAACTGGAAGGCCGAGCTCACGGCCCCACGTCTGTTTTTCTGCCATGGTGTTTGTAACAAAGCAAAAGCTGTGTTATTAGTGTCTTCCAGCTGGGATGTTCTAAAAACCTCAACCCCTGAGTCCGCCTGTGGCCCGCCCTGGGTCTATGTGATGGCGCGGTTGGGCTCGCACCCCAGGGCCCAGCTGGACGTCAGTTTATCTGACGGATCTGGGCAGCCAGCACACGGCCGCCGAGGAGTTCATTTGCAGGGCGGTCTCAGGCTGGAGGTTTGCCTTGGGGCCAGAGGCAGGTGGGGCATGGCCTGCTGTCCATCTCAGGTGTGCCTCTCCTCCAGGTGCACACGGCACTCAGCGCAGACGGGGCTGCGGGCAGAGCTGTCCTGGGAGGGGCTCTGAGCAACGCATCTGCTCGAGGACCGTGGCTGGCAGCCTGACTCTCTGCGGAGCCAAGGGGTGCCCTCACTTTCCCAGCCACCCCGAAGGGTGGGGCACACTGATGTGCCCAGGATCCCAGGGCGACTCCGAGAGGGGGCGTGCTGGGAGGTGCGTGGGCGAGAGGAATCCCGCCCTCCACACTCCGGGAGGCTCGTCCTCCCCCCTGCTGGCCCCCAGGGCAGCGGAGCGTTCACTCCGCCTCGGCAGCAGCTCCTCTCAGACTGGGCCTTCCTGGGGCTCTGACAGGGGGCGGCTCCAGGGAATAGCAGGGGGTCTACCCTGCCCCCTCCTCGGTGACACGGGAGGACAGTTGACCTCCGCCTGGAAGGCTGTGAAGGTTGAACGCACTGCGTTCTGCACACGGCCCGGCTCGTGGCGACAGCGTGGCTCTCGGGCTGTTGTCTTTATCCAGCTGGTGTGGTCTCGTGGGCCACATGTCCTCACCTTTTCCACAGGTCCTCCCCGTCTTCCAGAAGGTTTCCTTGAGAACCTAGCTTCCTTTTGCTTTCACCAACCCTTTTTCATCAACAATGCCTGCTCCTGTCTCGGTGTAAGGCATGTCATAAATTCAAAGTCAGGCCTTCCTAACGGGGAGTTTTCCTCTCTGGGGTTGTTTTCATTTCGTAAGTGACCCCGTGCTCTCAACTGGAGGAGGGTGCGGACCAGTGGCTGGCAGGTGGAACTGAGCGGCGTGCGTGTTGTTGGGGAGGAGGGGGAGGTGAGTGGGAGACGGGGTGGGGGGTGGAGTTGTTTGAGCCCCTTTTAGCTGCTTTTTGGAGGCCATGCTAACTATTAGTCCCGCTCACCAGGCGGGGCCTGCCTCCCGCACATGCGCAGGGAGAGGCTGCCCTCCGCACTCCCTGTTTCCATGGTGCTGTTCCTCAGGAGAGCACACAGCGCTGTGGAAGCAAAGGTCAGCAGAAGCGGAGTCTGCAGTCGGCTTCCCCCCACGTGCACAGGCCACTCTGAACCACCCAAAGGCGCTCCAGCAAGGACATGATCATTGATCTGCACTCAATTCATCAGTCCGACCAACTGACCAACCAGCCAACCATAGGACCCATCTTGGGGGGCACCACATTCCGACACAGCTGTGGCATGGCGGCTAGAGGAACAGGCCTCCTCTGGATATCCCAGTGGTTCTCAATCAGGGACGTGTCTGCGGCCCTTCCCCTGCCTCAGGGACACTGGGCGATGTCTGAATTTGGTTCTGGTAGTCGTGACTTGGGCGGGGGCATTACTGACGTCCAGCAGGGAGAGGTCAGGGACGTGGTTAAATGCCCTGCAGTGCACAGGAGAGCCCCCTGCCGCCCCCCACAAGGACTGTTGGCCCAGAATGCTGACAGTGCTGTTGTTGAGAGACCTGGGGTGCACCAAGATGGTAATGCGTGGCTGAGCCTATTCAAGGTCAAGCAAGGAAATTAGGAAGATGGCCCTCTGGCAAACAGGGAGTGGAGAAGCTGCAGAAGTCCAGGGCAGAAGTATCGAGCGGCAGCGAGCCTTAGACCCTCCCTCTGAGGGGAACATCTTTCAGGCACTTAATCGATCAACACCCATTCAAGTGAATCCACTGTGGGTGCTCCCAGAGGCCAGGCTAGGCACCCCCTCAAAAAGCAATCATTTGCACTTCTCTGGCTGTTCACCGACTGTGCAGACAGGAACGAGGAGCTTCTGGGAAAAGTGGTAAAGAAGGGGGAGGCTCTACAAGAAAGAGGAAGGCAAGCCAAGGTAAACGTCCCTCCCCTGGCTGAAGACCCGTCCGTCTGGCTCTTCACTCATGGGGAAAGATCGCATAGACCCAACCTGCCCTTGGAGCACCGTCTCGATGGTGCTCAGCAATCCCCTTCCAAGGGCAAGTTCCACAGAAAAGTAAAAAATACAGCTGAAGGAGAGTTCCTAAGATCCCCAGAGTGGACCACATAAACGTCCACACTGAGGACCTGGGGTGCGGGGGCAGGCAGTCCAGGACATCGAATTCTAAAGCTGACCTCCAGAGGAGGTTGCTCCGGAGAGTGGCCACAGCTTGCGCAGCTAAGCACTGCAGCCCACTGGAAAGCCTCCCGCTGGGCCTGCTGCGGCCGCAGGGGCAGGGGGCGCTGAGGAGACCAGGTCAGCCCCAGCTCTGCTCTGCGTCACACGCCACAGGGCTGTCACCGTGGGTCTCAAGACTGCTTGCTGCGGCAAACCTCTTCCCCTTCTTTCTAGTTCGACATCATGTTGGAATTCCCCTGATCCCAAAGAGAGAGATCGGGTGTTAGCTAGTGGAAGCGGTTTGAAACCCATTTACTCAGCCAGGGAGACCTGAGGCAGGGCCGGCGGAGGGCAAGGATGAGAACCCCGTCTGCAGCTGTAACATGTGAGGCACGGTGGGGAAGCCCCGGAGAAGCTGGAGGTGGAGATGGAGCCGGAGGATCCGATGAGACCCAGGACACAGAAAGAATCTTCATGCTCGGGGAAAATCACACCAGGAAGAAGCCACTTCTCCCTCACCAGGGATGGGGGAGGGAGCACAGCTATTTTTATCCGAGGTTCAGGACTAGGAGCAGCAGTGCTAATTTTCCCACCGTGGAGGATCTCTTAATGCCTGAAAGATGAGCCCTCCACACCTCTTACTGCAATCAGGCTTAGAGACGGACGCCCTCTTTTCAGTCATGTTGGAGAAGACCTTGAAAGGCTTATTTTCCTAGACATGGGGAACCGCCAACCTACTGAACAGTGTCATGGGAGTTAGAGCTCTTTGGTCCTTGGGGAAACGCCAAACAACAGCTTCACCAAGCTACTGCATTTTTAAGGTAGAAAGGATTCTGCCTACCACCTGTGAGCCAACCACACTCACAACCGTCAGCCTGTGGGTGAAGGGCCCCGGTGCTGTCTGGGTCCGAGAGGGAGGAGGAGGAGGCACAGAGACTGAAGGGCTTGGGGAGCGGGAGGGGCCCTGGCCGTGACTGGGAACGCATGAGTGAGTGTGTCAATGAGTGACGGCGTGACGGAAAAGTACAGCCGGCCACACTGCAGACGTCCTCAAGCAGTCCTCAGGGGTGAAGGGGAAGGTGACCACCATGGCCACGGGCAGGGCAGCCTCCACCTCTGTCCATGACAACAACAGGCAGGTGTGGGCGGCCCTTGGCCTCAGTGCTAGGCCACCTGACGACCCACAGAAGCTAAAGGCAGTGTGTGTAACTTGCGAGAAAAACTCCTTGGCCAGTGCACTGTCTTCAGCAATAAGGGCCTCCCCTCCCTTTCACCAGCTGAGGCTTCTGGCACCTGGGATGTGGGACAGAGATGGGGGCGGGGAGGGCAGCCGCAAGTGGCCCAAACCTGACAGTCCCACTGGTGCTCCCGGAGACCAGAGCACGTCTGTGTTCACGGGGCCACATTCGACTCCTGAGGGAAAATGGGAGACACAATGGGGTGCAGGCCCCGACCGGAGTCCAGAAGCCCGGGGTACAGCCTTGGGCAACCCACAGGAAAGGGAAGATGAGGATGGGAGTGCTCACCTGCCGAGCCCGCTGCGAGGACTGAAGGGACCACCGTGTGTGCCGCCCTCCCTAGTGATCAGGCGTGACACTGCCCTGCAGCGGGTGCCCGGCAGGGAAAAGGTCTGTGACCACCACGTGCGGCGTGAGTGAACACCAAGAATCATCTGCCCCCCTTCCTTAGCTCTGCAGTCGGGACTTAACTCCTGGGTAGCCATCTGGTCAACAGCACCACTGAGATGAGCCCAGGAGATAGCAGGCACGGTAAGGGCGTGACAAAGCACAGGAAGGTGCTGACGTCGGGTGGCATGTGGGACTGCAATGCTCCCCCCCCCCGCCGAGTGGCACATGGTCCACCCACAACACTTCGCATCCTGCCTCCTGGGCAGTGGGCCTCGGGGAGGAGGCTGAGGCTGAGACTGCGCTGCAGAGATCGGTTTCCCGGCTCTGATTCTTACCTGGGGGGGGGGGCCACTGAGAATGAGCCGCATGGGTAGGTCTCAATCCTGACCTTTACCTTGGCCTCTCAGTTGTGCAGAATGCAGCCCCACAGTCACTGGCATGGGGGCTAGGGAGCGTGTGAGTAGCACGGAAACACCGCCATCACAAAGCAAATCCACACAAACCCAGAAGAGCAGGAAGAGCGCGCAGCGAACCGAGAGAACAGGCGTGGAGCAACGGGGAAGAGAAAGGAAACTCGTCAG